TAACGTTTCATTTTTAGTGTGCAATCACCATAATAAGACTGGAAAAACAGACCTCAAACGATGACTTAAGATGTGCGTCATATTTTCATGCTACGTCGAAAAACTGAATTATGAAAGGTTCAGAATGTCATAGACATTCCAGGTTCTGGATAAAGAACTCCACACTACTGTTCTTACAGTTTACATTTAACTGAGTCATAAAAGAAGCTTTTAAATGTAGAAAGAAAGAAAGTAGATGTCAATATACAATAACCGTCGAAAAATTGTCTTACCTAGCGGCAATTGTATGACAACTTCATCAGTTACAATTTTCGAATCATCTGTTAAACGATAATCAGTTTTTTCTGAAGTTGTATTACTTGGTTGTGGCGTTCTATTATCAATAACGTTATTATCGTTGTTGTTAAATGGATACAGTAGATTATTTTCATTATCATATAATAGTGAAAAATTTGAAAGACAAGTTGTAGTAGTAGTGGTAGTACTAGTAGTAGCAATAGTGTTCATCTGACTTGCTGCAGGGAGCGAATAATTTAAATTTGAAAAAAAAGTTGATTGTTCATTCAAAGAATGAGATGATGAAGACGAAGATAAATATTCAATTGAATTATTGCTAGCGGGCATTAATAACTGACTTCTAAGTGTATCTGATGTGTGATTTGCCTCGGCTGTTGATGAAGTGGAAGTTGTCGGTATGGATAGAGATGATAGTGAAGATGTTGATGATGAAATTGAATTGATTTGCCCCTAAAATTAGACGAATACATACATCATACATTAGACGAATATATACATAATCTCCTAGAAATGCACTATCGAAAAACATGTACTTACAGTGTTAATTGAACATGAACGCTCGTTCAAAGTTTGAAGTGGAGGAAATCCAGGCGGTGGACCAAGGACGGATGCATCTGATAGCGGTAGTGCTTGTTTGAATAATGATGATGAAAAATTGTTTAATAAAGATTGTTGTTGGGTTTGTTCGTCATGAATCGATGTTGTTGAAGAAGAACAACAAGCTAGATCCGTAACTGTTTGTAAAAATACATCATCCAGGGTATTATCAGATGTATCGTGAGTAGTTTTTTGATTATCTGCATCGGGAGTTGTTATTGAAATGAACATAGCAGCTAATTCCGAGTCGGTTAAGATATAATTGTTGTTGTTAGTTTTATCTACTGTTGTTGTTGATAAAGAAGATAAAGCTGTTGAACATTCATCAATAGTTGTCATTGTTTTCACTGCTGAAGAGAAAAAATCATCAAATAATACGGACGGATAATTTGATTCGAGTTTTTGATCAATTAATGTTGCTGATACTTAAAAATAGTCAAAAAGCATGATCAGCAATAACGAACCGTGTTGACAGATAGAATAATGCTTACCGTTATCACTAGTTGAGTTGTTTTGTATACGAATAGGCATAAAATAATATTGTTCATGAAAACTAACGATCGCACTACAAATAAAGTTAAATAAAGCAGGTTTTGTTGATTTTTCAAAAAGGCCTAATACAAGCCACTATAAAAAAGCGAAACAAGAAAATTAGCGGCCAACTAATCAGTCCTTCAAAGTTTACTAACAGCAACGATTCAACGAAACATATTGACATTATACATCTACTACAATAGTTTTATTCGAAATTAGCTGAACTAAAAACGAGTGAATGTCTAGAATAAAAAGCTAGTTTATCTTCGTTAATAAAATAAAATAGTAGATCATGTTGTTTGTCGAACTTGTCAAAGCGATTTCTTAACAAGAAACATCATGCCTCCTCGGTTATCTAATCAAATAACAATTAATTCAACGAGCACATGCAAGGCGTATGACAAAATCAGCAGGATCAATGCGTTCTGCCTATTTCTTTTGGAGCTAGACGTCAAAAAGCTTCAATCTCTCCATTTCTAGTGTGGCATGCTAATACATGTAAGAATTAGTAATATAATTTTGGAATTAGCTAATTAAAAGCACGGCCACACTGAATACTATATTTATTTTATTTTCAGTTCACCTAGCTACCCACTAGGAACTAAAACCTAACACAAGCGCGAGATCCGAGAGACAAATAAATTACTGGGATAGAAGCAGAAACGTCTTGTAAGCAAGAAGGCTACACTTAGTCCAGTTAGATTCGTTTTCTGATGAACTGAACTATTAGTACTTACAAAAAAGAAGATAAAAACTAAGTTATCAAGAAGAGGTAGCGAAGGAGAAGACTAATTCATGTTGCAGTAAATCGACATACAAAGCATTCATAAAACAACACCGAATAGTATAGAAGAGTAAGTAAATGTGCGAGGTGAGTAACGGCCAGGTTTAATTGTAACCATTAAGACTGCAAACATTTGGATTTTTCTGAAATTTATTTGTGTTCATCGGATCAAAGACGTTCACGTTTGAACACAACTTTTCAAGGTTTAATCAGAAACTGGCTAGTTCCTAACAGTCACAATAAACTGGATAATATAAAAAGCGGTAGTTATATTCATGCACGCAATCATCCACGATAAAAAATTGAATATTGATTATTGATTAATTTTTAAAAAAACACAAACCTTTTTCGTTTCTTCTGATGGATAGCGGTACGCAAATTACTTCCCAATATTAAAGTAACTTCTTTATCACAGTCATCGCAGTCGTTTGAGAAACTAAAGTTTATAAGCTAGTAACGCTGATGATTTTTCTCGCATAATAACATAAGATTTATAATTAAAAAGCAAAAGTCTCACCTTAGTCTATTTAGTATATTAGAAGGGAAAATGTTAATCATTCCCAAAATAATATTTTGAAAACAAACAGATCCACACAAAGAGAGTGAGATTATAGTTATGCTGTTATTTACAATCAACAGAGTCTATTTGATTAATTGTGCTCTTGTGTAAATGCATCATAACTTGAAGAAAAATACAAGATAAAAACATAAATAGACTTACTTTTTTTGGTTTTGTACAGCTGAGTCGTGAGAATCACTTTTTAAAAATATTGGTTTGATTAATTCGAAATTGTTTTCCGGGCTGGTATTATTGATGTTGTGTAAATTGTTAGTATTGAATAAATGTGCTGGTTCGTTATAGTTCATTGGATTCCGACAGAGAGATGTATCGTTTCTCTCTACTTGACAAAATGGAAAACAAAACAAATTATAAATAGACTATGCTTTTTTCGTGTTATTTGCTGATATATACCTGAATAACGAGATAATTCAATTTCTTAATTCATGCACTGATTTTTTGCCAAGAAAAATTGCACATCTTTTTTTTGTCAAATGCATTCATATGATATAATTAAACTACCTAGAGATTCAATAGCACATTATGATATTGTAGGCTCAAAATTGTTTTTTCTTTTCAAGGCCGTGAATGTTCAAAAATGTTGCCGGTATTATGAATCTAATTTATTTTATTTTTTGTCTAGGCTTTTGCCTTTCTTTCTTTTTATTGTTATCTTTCTTCGACGTCGCGGTCTCCTGCTGCTGAGAAATGACTATTATTTTAGTTAAAAAATGGCTGCGGGATACAGCTAATCAAATTGTGAAAGAAGAGAGGCTTTGAGTGCAGATGTCGCTAGATGACTTGTGAAGTGAAACAATATTTTCGAAAAGAGATTTTTACAAAATCAACTTTACTATTCAATTTCAACAAAAATCTGTTTTCATCACTCCTATACTAAGATACAGATGACGCTTGCTCTTGGAAAGACTGATTACTTCTTTTCAAGGTAAATCACTCCTTATTGATATCTGGCCTCTTTTTGTGAATACTAGCGGTGTACTACTAGTATATGCTTGATGCTAATCGTTTCAAATAAAAACATTTGTGCAGATATGACTTGAATTGAAAACTTTGCGAATATCGAATGGAGGTTGATCAACATGATTTACAAACTTAGTGGGCTGCGCCTGGCCCAGGCTTTCCCCAACTAAGTTTGTAAATCATGTTGATCAACCTCCATTCGATATTCGCAAAGTTTTCAATTCAATTTCAATTTCAATATCATAATGTGCTATTGAATCTCTAGGTAGTTTAATTATATCATATGAATGCATTTGACAAGAAAAAGATGTGCAATTTTTCTTGGCAAAAAATCAGTGCATGAATTAAGAAATATTAACTTAAGAAACTTATTATGTTGATTGCACACTAAAAATGAAACGTTG